GTGAGAGGGGTACTGTAGCTCTGATACTAAAAATCAATGAGAAATTAAAACATATCTTAGCATTTTGCTACAGTCATATTTTTCTGGTCTTCTGCCTTTTGCATTTAGATGTTAGACGTATATTACTTAATCAGACATGATTTAGAAAAATGAAGTTACTAAAAATTAGAGAAAAAGCTGAAATACGCTATTCTGCACACATATTTGGTGGTTTGGGCCTATTCTCACCTAAGAATAAAAATCCCTCCTGGGATTAGTAAATCAAAATAGGGGCTTCCTCTCCACTCCTCATATAAGAAACAAACATTAAACAAATTTCATGTTGCTTATATTTTTATGACTTCTCATGAGGTGAGTAAGATATGCCAAGAGTATTTTTTGTGTGTGTGGAATATGAACCAGATCTTCTATTTTCCTTAACAGGCAGAAGCAAATTGCTTGTGTCTCTTTCTCTTTAAATAACCCGGGCATTTGCTGCTAAGATTTTGTTATGTCACTTAGAAAGACTCATGGCTGAGCACGTTAGGAATTACTAAAACAGATTCAATTATTTTATTTCTTTTTTTCCTTACTTTTTGTTTTCCTCAGGACACTCAGGTACAGAGAAGAAGGCTTGGGGAAATTTTAGGGAAGCCAAATTTTCTTTTCTTCACAGATGTCTTTGAGTTTTATCAATTTGTAAGCCTATAATGATAAGGGGAAAACTGTAATAAAGAAACCACTCAGAGAAAATGTCAAAATTAAAATATAACGAACTATTCAATATGGGATTTGTTTATATAACTTTCTAAATATGCCCTCTTTATATATAAATACAAATTTGATGCTAGTAGATTTTTCTGCCTTGTGTCTAGAAAATATCTCCAAATACCAATTATGACAATAACATCCAGCATGCCAAGCCTTTCATAATCATTATTTCATGTCTTCCTCGTCTATCTGTCAGGTAGGCACTATTATTTTCCCCACTTAACAGGTAGGGGGACAGAAATTTAAAAGAGGTTAAGTGACTTGTCTAAGATCACTTTTAAGTAGTGGAGCCTTGTTGTCTATCTAGGTCTATTGGATTCCAGAACTTGGGCTCTTAATCCCTTTTGGGATACCACCAGAAAGACTGATATGTGTTTCTGGGAGGGAGATGGTTTGGTTCCTATGCAGAGAATTCTCCCTTCATTATGTGCTGCAGGCTATATAGAGCTACATCACTTTTCCCACATCCAGTGGCATTTGACAAGCCAGTGCAGGGCTTAGAAAGCCTAAGGGGGTGGTGCATGTGATGTGTAGCTTCTGAGATCTCCTGGGACTGGCTGGTTCCTTCACAGTTGGTACATTTGGTATGACATCAGTTTTTCAAGGAGCTGCCATTTGCACTCTCAATGCTAAGACAACATATGGATACAACTCGTTTTTTCAAATTTCATCTGCACTCCTGCATTCTTTTTTCTTTTTTACTATCATACACTTTTTTTGGAGTAACTTTTTTATTTCTATTGAAGTTAAAGTTGATTTACAACATTGTGTTAATTTCATATGTACAGCTATGTGAGATGTATATATATTTCCATTATAGGTTATTACAAGATATTGAATACAGTTCCCTGTGCTATATAGTACATCCTTGTTGTTTGTTTATTTACATATGGTGGTGTGTAATCTTAATCCCATAGCTCTAATTTATCCCTTCCCCTCCCTTTCCCCTTTGGTAACCCTAAGTTTGTTTTCTATGTCTGTGAATCTGTTTCTGTTTTGTAAACAAGTTCATTTGTACTGTTTTTTAGATTTCACATTTAAGTGATACCATATAATATTTGTCTTTCTCTAACTTACTTCACTTAGTATGATAATCTCTAGGTTCATCCATATTGCTGCAAATGGCATTATTTCATTCTTTTTTATGGCTGAGTAATATTCTATTGTGTGTATGTAAGTGGACAGATGGATAGATAGATGGACAGACAGACAGATATAAATCACATCTTCTTTATCCATTCAATTGTTGATGGACATTTAGGTTGCTTCCATGTCTTGGCTATTGCAAATAGTGCTGCTATGAACATTTGGGGTACATGTATCTTTTTGAATTATTTTCATCTTTTCCAGATATATGCTCAGAGTGGGACTGCTGGATCATATGGTAAGTCTATCTTTAGTTTTTAAGGAAATTCCAGGCTATTTTTCATAGTGATTGCACCAATTTACATTCCCACCAGCAGTGTAAGAGGCTCCATTTCCTTTTCTCCACACCCTCTCCAGCATTTATTATTTGTAGACTTTTTGACGATGGCCATCCTAACTGGTGTGAGGTGATACCTTACTGTAGTTTTGATTTGTATTTGTTGAATAATTAGAGATGTTGAGCATCTTTTCATTGCACTCCTGCTTTCTTGATTGTTAGTCATATCCCATAGTTGAGCTTACTGGTAAAAACAGGAATAAATAATATGTTGGATGGGTGAAAAGGGGAGGGTATATGTGGGAGATCATAGGATAAAGGTCTGAGTGAAATACCTTGATCATTACCTGGTGCTTTATCCCTTTAAAAAAATTCGATCTTTATTATGCACTGAGGCGACTTGTGCTTCCAGGAAGATGGAGTAGACATCTTTTTTTCCTGTTTCTCCCACTAGATATAATATATAAAACAAACATAAGATTCTGAAAGGTGGATAAAAGGCAGGCTGGATAGGGACCTCAGGACCAGAAAAAAGGACATGGTGGTGAATTCTCTAAATTTTCTTTTTGCCTCATAGATCTCTGATTAGTTACTGGAGAAGCTGGCAACTCAGAAATACCAGTGGCCTCAGACATGACTATGGGCCACTGGAGACCATGTGGGAAGTCTGAACTTCCACTTCCACCCAGTAGCCACAAGGCATCCCTCCGGTAGGGTCAATGGAGGGCATAGCAGGAACAGTAATGAAGTTCCTCCTTGACTTTTATCTCTATCTGGCAATAATAAGGCAGAGGGAGTTCCAGAAGGAAAGATGTGGATGGTGTTGAAAGAGTATTTGAAAAAATAATGGCTGAAAGTTACCTACATTTGGGAAAAGACATAAACCTATAGGTTCAAGAAGCTGAGCAAATCCTGAAGAGGATAAACCCAGATATTCGTGCCAATCACATTATAGATCACCTTCTGAAAACTAAAAACAGAGAAAAAAAAAATCTTGAAAGTAGCCAGAGAGAAATGACACAGGAAATGCACTGATTTTTGGCATTAGAGGAATAGGCTGGTTATCAGCACTTCTTGTCGATTTCAGCCCTTAGTCTTCTTTTTAACTGGATTCAACCAAGCTAACATGTACAGAGCATTTATTAGACATCCACAAATTATGCTGGGCACCAGGGGAACATTTGCCATTCTCATTTTTCCTGTAAGTGCTCCACAGTGGGTGTTATCCCTCAGAGCAAATCATGGAATTCCAGAATTGGAAAGAACCTCACAGAAAGGAAATACATGAGCAGAAATTTGTAATTTGGTATTTCTAGATGGGCTTCAGCTCTGTGAACTCCCTGAAATTAATCTAAAAAAAAAAATGCCAGCATGTATGAGCATTTTTCTAGGGGAAGGACCATAGCTTTCATCAGATTTTCAAAAAAGCTTATGGCCCCCCCAAAAGTTAAGAGTGACTCATAAGAGTTTCTGCTCTTTTCAGGCAAAACCATATAATCCAACCTGGACAGATGAGAAAAGAGCAAAAATAGAGAAGGTATTCCCCAACATATACATCAAAATTCCTGAATGCCACTTATAATTCTTTACTTTTTAAGGAGAAAATAGGAAAATGGCAGTTTTCTAATTCTTCCAGGCACCTGTGGAAATACAGGTTTATCAAAAGATTATCTGCCTAGTCTTATTTGAACATTTTAAAAATGGTATCTGAGGTGATTAAATAACCAATGCACTGTGATTTAAAATGTACTTTAGGTTTTATTTCTCCTAATGCCAAAGGAAAAATTCAGACATACAAGGAAGAAGTAGCAGCTTCTCTGCATCAGTACCTGTGGGCTGGTTTATAAGATATAGGACATGCTGTCCCACAACCTACATTCCTTTTTCTATCTTTCAAAAAAAAATGGCATATAAAAAAGTTCTATTAATTGCATAATGTGTAACTACCACTTTACTGGAATAAAAAAATGTTAGTGCTTTCTTTGGTGAAAAAACAAAATGCTATGACTAAAACAGATCCATGTGGCTTCTATAATGTCTTTATAGTATGGCTGTCCCTCACTCTTTGTACCCTCTACCAAATCCTTCAGGAAGCCAGACCAGCTCACACCTGGAGAGATGCACAGTAGGGTTTGAGTTTGCTTTAAGTCTCCCAATGTCACCTGGGAGCTAGAGATTGAATAATGCATTATTTTAGGAACAAAACTTGACTACTTGCTTCCATTAAGACCCTGTAACAGTTTGACTTAGACAGTTCTACATTGGCTGCATCTACATCATCAAAGGAATCACAGAGACTCTTGTTAAACAGAGAATTCCAGGCCCTAACCTACAATTACTATACCACAACCAGGAGAGGAATCTGGTAATCTGACTGTTTTATCAGGTGTTTCAGGTGATTCTTAGGCTCAAACAAGTTAGAGCAGTCTTCTTAAATCTAATGTGCATACAAATTATCCTGGGCTTTTGAAACAAAAGCAGGTTCTGATCCAACTGGTCTGAGTAGGGCCTGAGATTCTGCAGTTCTAACGAATTCTCAGGTGATATCACTGGTTTGAGGACACTCTAGTGAGGTAAGGGAGGGTATCTCATCTGGCTGGTGTGCAAATCAATATAGGCTATTATATTTTTCCTTCTGTATCCGTGGATTCTTACCAGGGGCCTCTCATACCTTGATACTGCCCATTTCTCATTTTTCACTGATTATGTCTCTGTAAGTGAGAGCGATGAGTTAAGGTAAGTCATCTTACTCTTCTCTACTTAGCTTAAATAAAAGTTCACACAAAGATAAAAACAATATGAAAAAAACAGAAATGGACACCACACATTAACTAACATAATGGGTTTATATTTAATATAGTACTTCTCACTATGGAGATATTATTCAGTTAATATAAAGGCTTTTTGTTTAACATTAAATCTCTTCTTCATTTCAGTGTCAATATAAAGTATTTCTTTTTTACATTAAATCTTTTCTCCAATTCAATGTTACATACATTGAATACATTTTCTAAACTTTCCACCCCTAAAGAAATGTTTTAATTTTTGACCAGCTATATTTGATATCTAAGTACAATACTAACTTGAGAGATAACAAAACAAAAATCCAATAAAAAAATGGATAAAAGAGTCCTCAGCAGATGGAGACAGTGATTATAACTGAAGAGTAGCCATTTCCCAAGATTCTGGGCAAGAGTTTCCTTCTTCCTACTGAGAATTCTGAAACTACAAAATATTACTTATGCAAATTTCACCCATCTCACTTCTTTGGCCCTCCTTCTAACTAGCAAATACAAATTACAGATGGCATTTTTCAGTGCATTATTTGTTATGAAGGAAACATTTTGTTTTCCATTTTACATAGAATATCAATTTGTTCCCGTTTATACGGAAATAACCAAGAATGTGAAACTACCTTATGTATTGTTTCTTGGGAACTTTCAGATACCAAAGCTCAGTTCTGAACCTCAATAGCATGGAAGTTTTCAGGGCAAGGTTTGATTCAGGAGGCCCTTCAAAGTCACATTTGTCCATTTCTCTTTCGTGCATATACTCCTAAACAAGCACAAATGCCTGTAATGCTGAGAACTACACCTAACAAGAGAGCAACTGCATCTCCAGCTTCTACTGCTTCAACAACAGGCAGCACCAAAAGCAATGAAAAGAGGACTAAGAACGATTGCGTTGAAACTGAGATCATGGTGTTGAGCTCTTGAGGTGGCTGGATCTTGAAGGCTGAAGGTTTCTAAAAATTAAAATGGAAACCAAAAGGAACCATTAAAAATTCCTACTTTTTCAAACGTCATGAGTACATGGTAAATAACAGTTAACACAACCTTCTAAATTAGAGATTTTATAAATTATTTCAGACCCATCTCCTTAGGGAAGTAAATAGCATTTTAAAATTGTCATTTGAGGCTAATCTCCCTTTCTCATAATTCCCTGACTCCAGCGATTTTTAATGCCAAGACCGTGTGAATCAACAAAACAGAAACTGAACAAGCTTGGAAACGTAAAATATCCGAGTGAGTGAAAACTGCATTCTCTTAGGGTCTCTCCCATCCAGGAAATGCGGAAACTGCTGGCGAAGTCAAGTAACATATAACTTTGTGAAGTCGTGGAGGAAAGAGTTAAGACTTACCAAAGAAAGCGGTATTTGTATAATTCTATCCGACTCCCTTCCTGGAGCTCCGGATGCTGAGCCTAAGAGGTTCCACGTGACAGCGCCTATCATCAGAGTAGCGTGGCAGGATTTAAAAATTACACATTATTAATTATCATTACTTTAAAGAGGCAGCTGGAGTCAGAACAGAATGGCGGGGTTGTACGGAAGGGAGAAGAATGGGTAACAGAGAAAACAGTTTGTTCAAGCAGGGGAACTAGACTTAAAAGTTGGTCAGTTCGCAGATGCAGTAAAAGCTTAAAACGACAACAAACCGAAAACAACAACAAAAAAACCCCGAGAAATACAAGTTTGTTCCTAAACTTGGTATTAAGACTTTAAAAAAAAAGACTGCTTTGGCCCGGCAAGGTGCAAATCTGCCCCCTGTCTAACAAATACACTGGTCAAGCTAAGTAGCCTTTGGAGACGAGTTCGTACCTTACCTTCCAGGAGGCAGCCATTACAGGAATGGCGAGCAGGGCGGGGTCTCCAAACTACATTCCCCACAATCCCGGGGGCCGGCGACTCCCAGGACGCACCGCGCGCTCCTCTGTACGGGCTGCGGGGTGACGGTCACGCTCCTCCCCCCAAGTCGCGGAGTAGCAAGCTTACAGGGTTCTCCGCGCCGCCTGGCCTGTTACTGGTAAAGTGGTGTAATGTATTTGTACAAAAGCTCACTAAAAATAAGGTCCGAAATTGACAGCAGGTGTTCTTTTGCCCTGTTCAAAGTTTTAAGGCACGAGTCGTTCTGTCTTTTTGTCTGAAATGCAGAAGGAACAGCGGGGAAAGGTCACGCGAGCAGAGCCGTGTCTTTCAGATGCGTTTAAACTAGTGGCTTCCTACATTTTTGAAGCAGAGAATCCCCTATTAACCAACTTACAAATTTGCCTTGGGTCGTTTGTGAATTCTGTTTAAGAAATGGGGGAAAACATGTCTAATACATTTTGGGAAATGTTAAAACCATTTGTAGGTGGTTTAGGAAAATCAGTTGAAGCATTATAAGATCTCTGATTCAGTTTCTAGAGTTCTGAATTTCCCTGTTACTTCAGGAGTGCAGTATGTGGTACACTTTAGAGTTTTCTTCTCATTTTTATTGCTGACCACCATAAATATCCCCAGATATCTATGGGAAGATGTAAAATCATTGCTTTTAAGTCATAAGGATGAATTATTTTCACACGTAAACCTTAGCCCTTTCTGAAAGGCTCTCTTGAGGTCTAATCTGTGAAGTCCTTACTGAACCTTTCTACTCGCCCAGTCTCCTGAACTCTCATTTACTGACTTGAAAATTTATTTGGCACCCCGGAAATTATGTTATTAATGATGTGGGTTAAGGGGTGAAGTCACTTGCCCTGTCTGAAAGTCCCCCTGGTTCAAGTTTCTCAGGTACAGTCTCTCAGGTACAGCAGATATATTTCAGTTCAGTGCCCATAATTAGCTTGTAATCTTTTAATGTTGGTCATCTTTTACACATTACTAATCTCTGTGGACTGACAGCAGAGCTTTATATTCCTGTCTCCTAACACATACACACGGCAGCAGGTGCTCAGTAATGTTGGGTAATAAAAATTATTTGAATAAATAAATATGCCAACAAGATTTCGTGAGAGACAAAGAAGTGCCAAATAAACCAAAGCAAGGTGTCTTGCCAATTCGAAATCTGAGTATAACTGCAATAATGTTGTCAGCCTTGCTTCTCTAAACTTGACTGTTTTAACAAATTCTTTTCCTCATTTGCCTTGAGCTACTTCTGGTATTGTACCTTTCTAGTCAGTTATATTTGACATAGGAGCTATTTTTTATGGCTTCCAAAATATTCTCTTGCATTCCAGTGTGACCGATTTGGGGATTTAATTTTTACCTCTATGTTTATTCAGTTATCTGAAGTCAGCAAAGACTTTGCTAAATTTAGTGTTATTACAGACTTGTTTCAAGGTGTGTCAGCGTTGAAGGAAATAGTTTAAAGTTTGAAGACTGTTAGGAGATCATTTGATGACCTCTACCTGAAAAAGAGCGGCAGAAGTTTGTTCAGGGATGTTCTGGGCCTGCGTAATTTTAAAATAAAATTGATTAACTTTTCCTAACCAGCACCCATCCTAATCAGGCCAGTTTAACAAAGGTATCGCTGTATGTGCTTTTGTCTCTCTTATCACAATCCTAGTTTCCGGTAGCATGGTATCCTAGTTCTCAGTTTTCTCTTCCTACCCTAACCAGTGATTTAAAAATAAATCAGATTGTGTATTCCCTTGCCTAAAGCTCTCCAGTTCCGTTACAGTAAGCAGAAGTCCAAGCTCCTTACCAAGACCCACAATGCCCTACATGTTGTGAAATCTGCCTGCTTCTCTGATATCAGCCTACCACTCAGTAATGCTCATTCTATTCCAGTCACACTCAACTTTTGCTGTTTCTTAAACATGCGAATTTTGTGGGTTTATTGATTCAAGGTTTTATTGAATCAAATATTGTTGATTAATATTTAGTCACCATTATAAACAGAAACTACCTTATAAGTAAGAAGTCTGCTTTGGGGCCAAACTATGAAGATATTTAGACTGAGATTATTTCGAATCATCATTCAAAATTTGGGTCTTACATATTTTCTCCATTATATTAATAACAAGTCTTTATGTCTATGTATATATAAGACACAGTAGTACCTAAAACAGGAACGTACTTTGTTTAAAGGAACCTGTCTATAGTGGTCCCTACTTACTTCCTCTGTCCACTTGGGGCACTAATGTTAGTTTAGTCCACCAGGATTGTGTATTTTTTCCTTAACGATACCTGGTTTCCTTTAAGAACTTCTTGATGCTGGACAAACAGTATTGGCATTTTTGGTGGGACAGTGCTTTATTGTGCAGACATAATACTGCAGAATGTTTAGCATCTCTACCCCATGCCTACTAAATGGCAATAGAATCCCCCAATCACGAAGACTATCAACTGCCCTCACATACTGCCAAACTCTCTTTAGTGAGATACTGTCCCTAGTCGAGAACCACTCAAGATTTCACCTAGAAATTAAAAGGAGTAATTGAAGACAGAATGAAACAGTTCACACAGACACCTCCAACACCAACACTGCAGTGTCTTAATGTTTTATATCCTTTCCTCCTTGGTTATGCTGGTTTTGTTGTTATCTACAGATCTCCTTTTGTGTCCTCTTAGCACCCCTGCCAAACAGGTTCGACTGGTCGCTTTCTTATAACAGCACTGGTATGCAGACTGAAGTGAGATTTCTGCTTCTGTTTCTGCCACTTAGTCTTTTTTTTTTTTCTTTTCGTGACGCAACTAGTACCAATAGTTTAATAAAATGAACACAGGTGGATAATGAAATTTCTGGATTGATATACCACATGTCATAACTTTTCACTCATATTCTCCATATCTCTTTGCTGTATTTTTAGGAATTTTTTGGATTTTACCTTTCAAGCCTCTATCAAATGGTTTGATTTTGGCAATCACATTTTTAATTCCCAAGCATTATTTCTTGTACTCTTGTCTTTTCTTTTTATATATAGCTTGTTCTCTTTTAAATGTATATAGTATCTTTAATTCTTTGAATTAATCTTCATGTTTAAATTTTCTGTTTTATCATCGTTCCTCTCTTTGGTGCAGTTGCTTTTCTTTAAATAGCTGATGATTCTTGATTTTCCATATTCATGAATGAAGGACTAGGTTGATTAATACTGGTGCTGGAAATACGAGTTTTCTTTGTTGTTGGGTAGGTCTATACTTTAAACACAGCTTTTATTTTTATTACACAAGTAATACCTGTTCATAGTAGAAGTAGTAGCAAATGAAAATCATCAAAAAGAAAATAAAATTCACCCATGACCTCATCACCCAAAAGTAGCCATTAACATTTTGTGTATTTTTATTGTCTTAAATAACAAGCAAGCAAGCAAATCCCTTTTTTTATAAAAGTTTATAAAAACTGGAGAGAGATATATATATATATATCTCCTGATTTTTCTCCCCACTTTAGATAAAAAGACTTTTCCATGTCAGTATATGTATTACCACATCTTTTTTTTTAAACTTTTTTATTGAGTTATAGTCACAGACATATGTTGTGTCAAATTCCAGTGTAGAGCACAATTTTTCCATACATGAACATACATATATTTATTGTCACATTTTTTTTTTTGCTGTGAGCTACCATAAGATCTTGTATATATTTCCCTGTGCTATACAGTATAATCTTGTTTATCTATTCTACATTTTGAAATCCCAGTCTGTCCCTTAGTCTTTAAGCTGTGGAGAGGTGTTGTGATATAGTATATGAAATATTAGCTTTTTCCCTTGCTAGTTTTGTGGATTTGGGTAGTAATTTTAATCTCTCTGAAAATTCCCTTTTATAAAATATGTTGTGTGAGGATTAAATGAAATGTTTCTAAAGTGACCAAAAAGTTACCAGAGCTCAATACTTATCAGTTTTCCCCTTTTTGTATTTCTATTCCTCTGGTTACTGGTTAAGACTTAGGATCTCTAGGCTCAGACTGCTTTGCTAGACTTCTGGCTCTGCAGCTTATTGTGTGACAGTAGACAAGATAGTAAGCTTTTTAAAGACTCAGCTTACCCATCTATAAAATGGGGTATGATGGTACCTACTTCATATTTATGAGGATTAAATGAGTTAATTTCTGCAATTAGTGGCTGGCATGTAGTAACCCCTCATTTAATATTAGCTATTGTTACTATTTGCTATTAATCAAATCCATGAAATGTGGAGTCTCCAGGATGTGCCTTCTCTCCATTGTGAATGTGCTCTTCTGCCGACAGACATGGTAAATGGAAACTGCCTGTGGAACCCTTGGATGCAGAGGCATTTTAGGCTTCCTAGACTTTGAGCTGGGAGCTGGCTGGAAAACACTCTCCTATTACTGGAAAGCTGTCAGTTTTTTGCCTTGATAGAATTTTACTGTTTAACTATTTCCCTGGTGTTTACATTTATGTTTAAAACATAGTCTCTGTTCAGTTATCATCCCATCATTGATTCACTATATTGGATCCAAAGGGTTTCGAAAATATGGTTGAGAAGGTCTTAGATATAGGTGAATAACTTCAAGAAATCATTTAGCTGAAATGATCTCTAGGGCCACCCGAAGAAAACCCAGCAAACAAAGAAACAAACACTCTTAATTCCTTTTGAATTCTGTTTCAAATTACAGCAGATAATCTATAACTGCACTACTTTTTACATAAATTGTGGCAAAGGAAAAGGCAGCATTAGAACCTTTGCTAGAAGGGGATTATAATAATTGAGACTATGGGGTCAGAGGAATGTATTACTCTTGATAGATTGTTATGGGATAATTAATTGCAGAGCTTGCAGGACAGAAGGAAATACTTTTGTCTTACTGCTGAGACATGGCACTCCACACAGTGTTGAACTTGGTACCCAGATTTTTACCTTACCTCCTTGACTTCAGTAAGGTTCACTGTCTAAAGAAGATAAACATTATTCTAACAACTCCTACTTAGAACTCATTTGCTCGTACTCCAC